GGAGGGAGGGGTGTGAGATGAGGTGGGGTAAGAGGGGGATACATGGGACACAACAAGTGAGGGGGCGGGGTGGTCGTTTCTGGGAGGTTGGGAGGGGTGTGTACGGTGATAGACAAGGTAATGATGGCAGACAAAGTGGTGTGTGGGGGGGGGAGTGGGTGGTTTATTCAGGGGGGTTAATGGGACCATTGGGATAGTCATGAGTGCCAGAGTTGAGAGCGTACTTAGCATGTCAGCTACTGCCTGCAGCGTTGGATGTGGCCCCCCTGCTCTAAAAGGAGAGATGTTTGTGTGGTATTCATATGCATCTGATTTTGAAAAGGCTTTCAAATGAAACCATAATAGAAATTAGGTTTGGTTGAGCGCTGAACCACCTGCTCCTCTTTCATCACTAACAACATCAATCAACAATAACAATATTATCTTTAAGCAATAGCTCACGACAGGCCGTGGTATATGCTAATTATATCACAGCTAAGGGGCGTGGTTTCCCTTAGCTGTGATATAATGAGCATATATCACGGCCTGAAGTGAGCTATTGCTTTTATAAAACGGTTACCAAGTGTGGCAATATGAAAGAAAAATACACACTCTAATTTAAATAGTTTTTATTAGTAAATAATGATGTTCAAAATAAAATAGTTCCGTTGCCTTCTGCACAAAACATAGTGCGAGGTGGTTGCTATGCAACAACACTAACAGCTAGCGAACATATTAGACAGAGAGCGTTGATCCATTATTTGGCTGTTTATTTACATTCATGTGTATGTTGCTGTTTCTTGTGCATCCACTGAAAAACTGTCCAGCATCAGTAGCATGGCTTACGTGGTCACTTGTATAGGTTGAGGTTGTTCTAGGCTGTTGCTTGGCGTGGCGAGAATATTGCTCCACTTTCTCCGGTCCCCGAGATTGGGCTTCCTGTAGCTCTGGAGAGAGCTTTCGCAGCTGTGGCCACTAACGGTCATAATTTCTCTGCTTTGTTTCAAGACCCGCATCAGAAAGCTTTTGAATGGTGCTACTTTTCCAGTTGGTCTACCTGCTCTTCACGTAGCTCTGCATGTCGTAGTTTAGGTGCTTTTTTTTCTGGAGATAGGCACTGCTCAATCCACTCCTCCATAGTAAGACCCCCTCGGAGGTCGAAGTTAATCTTAAATGTTTCCATTTTATGCTTTGTAAGTTTGTTTCGTAACGGAAGAAATTTAAATATATTTATAAAACTGACAAGTCAAATCAAGCAATCTGATTGGTCGATAGCGTTTTTGTGGATCTCTTTGATTACAGATTTGAAAACATCGTTGCTTGCTTTAAAAGTAGCACAATTCATTGTGTTAAATCTTCAAAAGTATCTAGATATCCCTGCCCTAATGCCAAAGGAACTGCACACTGAATATGTTTTGCCGTTTGATGTCTATGTCTGGACCGCTGCGTCAAAAAGGAGGGCTTCTGCCCCGTTACTTCTCCGCTGCTTTCTTGTTCCAGTATGAAAAGCAAACTGCCTGTCAATCCAACGGTATACTGTTTTTCTCAGACGCGGAGGGATACTGACTTGTTGTGAAAAGTAATTTACAATTCTACCCGTGGTATACGCTCAGTATATCACGGCTAAGAACCAATCAGATTGCTTGATTTGACTTGTCCGTTTTATAATTAAGCAATAGCTCACGACAGGCCGTGGTATATGCTCATTATATCACAGCTAAGGGGCGTGGTTCGGCCCGGCCCTTAGCTGTGATATAATGAGCATATATCACGGCCTGAAGTGAGCTATTGCTTTTATAAAACGGTTACCAAGTGTGGCAATATGAAAGAAAAATACACACTCTAATTTAAATAGTTTTTATTAGTAAATAATGATGTTCAAAATAAAATAGTCCCTCCGTTGCCTTCTGCACAAAACATAGTGCAAGGTGGTTGCTATGCAACAACACTAACAGCAAGCGAACATATTAGACAGAGAGCGTTGATCCATTATTTGGCTGTTTATTTACATTCATGTGTATGTTGCTGTTTATTGTGCATCCACTGAAAAACTGTCCAGCATCAGTAGCATGGCTTACGTGGTCACTTGTATAGGTTGAGGTTGTTCTAGGCTGTTGCTTGGCGTGGCGAGAATATTGCTCCACTTTCTCCGGTCCCCGAGATTGGGCTTCCTGTAGCTCTGGAGAGAGCTTTCGCAGCTGTGGCCACTAACGGTCATAATTTCTCTGCTTTGTTTCAAGACCCGCATCAGAAAGCTTTTGAATGGTGCTACTTTTCCAGTTGGTCTACCTGCTCTTCACGTAGCTCTGCATGTCGTAGTTTAGGTGCTTTTTTTTCTGGAGATAGGCACTGCTCAATCCACTCCTCCATACTATAGTAAGACCCCCCCGGAGGTCGAAGTTAATCTTAAATGTTTCCATTTTATGCTTTGTAAGTTTGTTTCGTAACGGAAGAAATTTAAATATATTTATAAAACTGACAAGTCAAATCAAGCAATCTGATTGGTCGATAGCGTTTTTGCGGACCTCTTTGATTACAGATTTGAAAACATCGTTGCTTGCTTTAAAAGTAGCACAATTCATTAGGTCAAACCTTGGAAAGTATCTAGATATCCCTGCCCTAATGCCAAAGGAACTGCACACTGAATATGTTTTGCCGTTTGATGTCTATGTCTGGACCGCTGCGTAAAAAGGAGGCTTTCTGCCCCGTTACTTCTCCGCTGCTTTCTTGTTCCAGTATGAAAAGCAAACTGCCTGCCCAACGGTATACTGTTTTTCTCAGACGCGGAGGGATACTGACTTGTTGTGAAAAGTAACTTACAATTCTACCCGTGGTATACGCTCAGTATATCACGGCTAAGAACCAATCAGATTGCTTGATTTGACTTGTCCGTTTTATAATTAAGCAATAGCTCACGGCAGGCCGTGGTATATGCTCATTATATCACAGCTAAGGGGCGTGGTTCGGCCCGACGCGAAGCATCTCATTCAAATCAGTTAACTTTTTTTATTGTGCGTCTTGTCTCTTTTTTGGCAAAGGAATGACACCAATTTGAAACATAATTGTACAAAAGCATACAATAAGAAAGATAAGGAACCTATTATAAAGCCACATCATATGTGTTATATTAACATAATAGAATCACATTTTTTTATATTATCATCGATACGAATACCAATCGACACCACTACTTGGCACAACACTGGCGCTTAGCATTGTGTGCATATCAACATGATCCAGTGGGCAGCAGTTTTACAAGGTACAAATACCAGCATTAAATAGATCCAGTCTTTCTCCACACTTACCCAGCCTGGTTCAGTGGATCTACATATCTGCAGCCTTCACTTCACCGTGCTTTATCCCTTTGGACCTGATAATCCTGAAACCCTGAGAGCTCAGCTGTCCCATACATCATCACGCATGACACTAAATCCTCGTTTTTGTAGGAATCAGGCTTCCCAACTCCTGTCTAATTCAGATGCTTTACTACTGAGCTACTGGCCTCACTTCAGACCAACAACATAAAATATAACCTGTAGTGGAGGAGGAGTAGTCAGTGGAGATGAGGGCATCAAAAATGGAAGAAGTGAAACGAGAGAAATAACAATACCAGAAAAAGGCACAGGGGATTTGGCAAACAAGAGGTTACAAAGTCAAATTAAAATACAGACTTGGAACAGTTTGCTATTTTCCCAACTTGACAACAGTGTTTGTTTTTCAAAATAAATTCACTTAACAGAGCCTCAGGACGTAGAAACAAAAACAACAAACAGAACAGCGCTCCACCTAAACTCTGAGATCTAGGACAGCGAGAGACCATGTGACAAGCACTCCTAAATACTCTCCATTTAGACAAATCATTTTATTTCTCTGTGCGCGCACACACAAGGCATGCACACACACACCCCCCACACACACACACACACACACATACACACACACACACACACACACACACACACACACACACACACACACACACACACACACACACACACTCAAATAGACACTGTTTTGTGGAAGGGTTTTGAGTTTGGAAATTCCTCAGGGGACAGGGCTCCGTGATCTTTAAAACCTCTCAGTTTGATCTGTCAGTGGAGCACTCACCACTGACTCTGCCCTTGAGAGCATCTCAGATCTCAGAAAACAACACATTTTCTTCCAGTTTCTCCGTGGACTGAGAGAATAGAAGTTGTTTGCTGCAGTGAGTTTGCTCTTAGCAAGAGGGAGGGAGTATGATTTGGTTCAATGTATGCTGATGGTGGTTTAGATGAAGGAAAGTATGAGCAACATGGAAACACATTTCCAAACAAACAGGAGAGCCTGCTCAAGCTCAAGGTGCCACACTGCTGCCCGCAGACAGCGGTCATTATCTTCCTGTGGGACGCCAGAAATCGCTAATGGGTGTTTCAAAGTAGAGCGTTACATAACTTACATTTTCATTAATTGTACTGGTTTAGAGCTCTTAAAGGATCCACCCACGATGAACACATATTAGAAACATTAAATAAGTATCCTAACATGCTCTTATTGAGCTACACAATATACTTCTGGGAAAAGGGTGGAGGGTAGGAAACTCCACAGCACCATAGCTTTGTTCATATGGAAAATCACATGAAGGCCAGAGCAAAAGTGCAACCCCTCTGAAGGCCAGAAGATCATGCACTTCTACTGTTGTGATAGTAATGAGAAGATAGTTGCTTTTTCAGTGAATGCTGAAACCAATTTACAGCAATGACGTCAGATCTCAAGCCAGGATCTAAATGATAAGGCACACAGGTTCATTTTGAAAGAACAAAAAAAAGATGTTCTACTTATTAGATACTAACTGTAATAAGAGTTGTCTTTTCCAAGGCATTTGAATGATTACTACATCTACAGTTGGTATTTATTAGAGGGTGAAAGCCGACATGAGTCTCAGAAGCACAGAACTCTGCTTTTCTTTGGGGGTTTTTTCTCCGGAAATAATAACTCATTTGTTGCAAAATCTTATTCTAAGTGTTTCTCTCCTCTCTTCCTGCAGTTGATGGGATCCTTCGTTCTGGCAGTGGGACTATGGCTACGTTTTGACCCAGAAACTGTTTCTCTTCTAAATGGTGATGAAGCTCCAGACACTTTCTTCATTGGTGAGTACCACAGCGCATCCGAGGTTATCTTAATGTACACACAGTGTAGGTGTGAAACAATAAGCTGTACACATTCAACACAAGGCCATTGATTTATGACATTTGCTGAAAGGAATGCTTATGTTTGTGAATATATTCTGTTACATTGCGCAGAAACGAGTCTAAATGGATAATGGAAATTTCAGTTTCACTTAAATTTTGAGACAATCTTTACTTATATTTGCGGCATTAAAAACATTGCATTTTGATACCAATGTATCTTCTCAAATATTTAAAATAATATTGTTTTTAATATGCTAGAGTAGACACATACACATAGCAAAATGTCATGTTGCACTTATCTTATTCTCCGTCTGAAAATGTGTTTGTATTGACATATTTCAGTGCAAATAGTTTTGGCTGTAAATAAAAGTATGTCTCTATGTCAGAGCTAGTGTTCCTACCACAGACTTGCTTGTACACAAGTCTTTGTGAGATTGCAAAATAGTGTGAGTGTCACTATTTGATTGGTGTTCTACAAAGTTTTCCATTTGTGGTTTAATATCCAAATGCAACATGCTCTAATGCTTTGAAGTTTCGATTATTAGGCATGGGATAGCTTCTTTTGAGCTGATGAGTGTGAATAACAGGAAATGACTGCCATACATGCATGAGGGAAACCACAGGGCTGCTAACCACCTTTTCAATCAGTCACCGTGCCCAGATGGAAAGAGATGGAGGAGGAGACAGTGAGTGTTGGGACAGTTAAAAAGGCATATGGAAGAGGGCAGTCATAGGAACAGATGGGGCTCCATGGCAAAGATCTGCAGGAAAAACAAGATGGGGTATCAAATTAAAAGACTGGGAAAGAAATGTGTTGAGCTGACTACCCTTCTCCACTCTCTGATCACAGCATCCTGTGTTAAACCTAAAGTACATTCAGTTATTTTAACGATCTTCAGTTTAAACTACTCTACTCCCGATTGATTTTCTTCTTTGAAGCCTGTTAGGGACTGATAGCGTTGTGTAATAGAATATACGTTTAGAGAGGATTTTTTTTTACAACAGAAGCCTGTAGTTAAAGTTATTTTATTACTTCTTTGTGTGTGAGTTTATTAAGAAATAAGGCTCAGATATCCTTGTGGTTTGACACAGGATGGGTGGCTTCTGTCAGGTCCTCGGAAAGTGCAACACATGGCTTTGACAGTGAAGAGCGCTCAACTGTTGCTATGCCTAGTTTCCATGGCGTCAATCCCACATCAAACTTTTCTGATCTTTGAAATGACATACTCTGAAAAGGTGAAAAACAACTACAGACTCAGAGATAAATGAAAACCAATATAAAAGCAAAGTATGCGAGTTCAGCAGCATCTCTTGCTCCCAGCTGCGATGAGTTAAAAGCTGATAAGAATGATCGCTTCACACGAAGTAACTAAACTCTCCTTTCTAACAGCAAGAAAACAACACACCCAACTGAATTATTATAGCACATCAAATCTCTTTGTTGACCCATCAGGATCCTATGAACCGTCTTCCTCTCTTGTTCCCACCTGAGCCTGTGTCACCTGGGAGCCGACTCTAACTATCTCGCCCAATTTCTGCTGAGCTGTCGCCTGGCAACCAACCCCACCTGTATGAGTGGTGTTACCAATTGTTGTTGAATTTCCTCCCTCCAGACCTACCCATGATATATGGAGGAAATTAGCTCCATAATGATGTACCTTTCCTAATGAGAGGTTTAATGTGACATCAGGGCATATAAGGAGCTCCCCCTAAAACAGACTCTTAACAACAACAACAAATAATCTCACATTAGGGCACAATGAAGAGGAACAATAAGTGCCTCCACTCCTAGAAAAAAGATCGAAGCACCAAACACAGGAAGAGTGCAGTCTGAAATATAACATTCCACTGTCTGAGCTTTTGTACTTGCAGTCCAGATTGTGACTGTTTTCATTTCTAGCTGTATGCTGCCCTCTGCTGGTGCTTCTGTAATTTACAATAGTCAGAAGCACTAGCTGGGAAAAGCTGAGCATATTAACAGAGATGTAGATAGGTAGATAGATAGATAGATTTTATTTCATCACAGCAACAGAAGTTTGTTCAGACATTAAAATAGTGGGAAATTAAAGCACTGTTTAAGGCGTTTCAAGCTGGAAGGTCTAAAGTGTATTGGTGAAGAAAGTACCATATTATCATCATCAAAAGTTATTACAAAGGTTGTTTGCGTCATGACTAACATCTTTATATACATTGCCTTACTGTTTACCATTGCATCTCTTTTCCCTGTTCCTTCAGGTGTGTATATCCTGATCGGAGCTGGCAGTCTGGTGATGTTGGTTGGTTTCTTCGGCTGCTGTGGAGCTGTTCGGGAATCTCAATGCCTGCTGGGTTCAGTGAGTACAACGCATAGAGACAAGCCTACAATACCAAAAACTGAGCTTTTATCTTATAGTTGGAACCTTTAATAAGTCTTAAACTGATATATTTAACCAATGATACATTTATTGTCTGTTTTTAATGCTTTTGTTTAGTTCTTTGCCTGTCTGTTGATCATCTTCTGCGCTGAGTTGGCTGCAGGCGTGTTTGGATTCCTGAACAAAGACAAGGTATGAAGCATTTCACATTTCAGAGCTTGAGTCATGCCTGGAGTTTGATGAATCCTAATGGTATTTACTTGTCCCCTCTGACACAGATAATCAAAGAGGTTCAGACCTACTACACAACCAACTACAATGAAAACAATAACGGCACATTGATCATCTCATACCAGAAAGTGGTAAGTAGAAAATCGAATTCTAGGGTGACAACAAGTAGAAAAAGTGCATAATTAAAGATATTTGCTTATGCCTAAACCCATCATATTTTGATTTTCTTCGCAATTTTAGCTGAACTGTTGTGGAACCACAGAATACCCTTGCCCTGATCCTCCAAAAGACACTAAAGTAAGTACCACCAGACGCAAGATGGAAATGTCATTATCTCGCTTTGTTGTCTAATGAATGAGAGACGGTGCCACAATAATCAATCTGGTTCAATAACTTGACTCTATCTTCGGTGTGCAGGACTGTGAGACAGGCATTGAGGAGTTTTTCAACACTAAACTCTACATCATTGGATATGTGGGCATCGGCATCGCTGGAGTCATGGTGAGTCATGATCTGAGAAGAAGCACACACACAGACAAACACATTGTGGGAGAGAATGATTTTATTAAAATTCTGTTTCCTTTTAACAGATTATTGGGATGATCTTCAGTATGGTGCTCTGTTGTGCCATCCGCAACAGCAGGGAGGTCATCTAAATATGACCTCTGCCCTTCCTGCCCCGAAAGACTGTACAGCCTTCAGATCAAATGACAACCTCTGTCAATCCAGGGACCCAGGCAGTAATTAGATTATGTTAAAAAAATCCTTTCCACTGTGATGCTTAAACCAGCTCTCTTTCTTTTTGTATTTGCAGTCACGAGCAAAGTAGCATGTGCTTCCTTTCAACACATTCAGATAAGACTTAGTCCACATATCCTGTGGGAACAGTATGATTTTATGACCTGACAATCTTTCAAATTGTTTTTCCTCATGGCCGTTTGGCGAACGTTACAAATGTTAAACCCACATACTGTCATAGCAGTGTCAATGCTTTTTCACACAGCCTTGACACTGACCCCTTGGCTGTGGGAAACTGTAGCCCAGGGAGAGCAATCTGAGGTGAAAGCAGCTGAGTTTGCTTATCTGAGCATTCAGATGAACACAAACATGAAGCCGCAAAGACACACAAGCACAGCAATGTTGTGTTACGTGAGACCACTGCCTCGAAGAAGGTTGTCTGAAATCTCGTAGGTATAAAAATCCTGATTGGTGGAATCAGAGCGTGGTGTCAAGAGAGGGATGGCCAGTGAATGTTTTGGGAAAGCATCCATCATGCAGCCCAAGCGCTCTTTCTCTCCCACACACATAGTATCTGTATACTGTATGATCAAAACCAATTGTTTCTACAAGAAATACAGCAGTTATATTACAGGGATAGTTAAAAATATGCTAATTCACTTTCTTGCTATGAGTTTGATTAGCTGATTGATAGCACAATGACAATGTTAGTGAATCTCAAGCTGCAGCCCGGAGTTGGTTAGATTAGCACAAATAACGGAAAAAGGAGGGAATAGCTAGCTTGGCTTTGTCTTTATGCTAAGCTAAACTAAACTAAGGTACACTAACAGGCTGTAGCTTAATATTTACTTTACTGACATATGAGTGGTGTTAATCTTCTCATCCTATTCTTTGAAAGAAATAATCTATTATTTTAGGCAACTTTAGGCCTACCCACATTCAGGTCTTTTACAACAACTCATGCATACTTTATATATTTTTAATAATGCCAATATGTGGCGCATACCACAAGCAAGTTTCAAAAGTCTGTAAAAGACATAAATGATTGCCTGCAGCATTAGGAAAAGTACATACGAACTAAAAACCAAAAGGAAAAGCCCCTTGTACATATATATATATATATATATATATATATATATATATATGCTCTCTTACATAAGAGAGTATATCTGAGTCTCTGTTGACTGTATGTCAGGAGGATCATTTGGAAATGTTTACAGGCTAAATATATTCTAGTCGGTCAACTGAGAACAAGCAGTTGGGCCTAAGAAATGTGCTTATCCAAACCAGGTCTTTGATCTCTTCACACCTCCATCTTTTCCCCCCCTGTGCCTTTAAAAGTGCACCGCCCACAACAACATAAATCAGAGCAATAACCTTTGTTTTCCTCTAATCTCATAAACCTCAGCAGATATGATAGTTGGACAGACATGCCCAACCTGGAATCACTTCCATGTATCCAGGTTCATCGGGCTGCTGTTGATTCTGTAGGGTTTATATTTGGACTCTGGTATGTAAATATGAGTTTTCTTGTAGTTGTACATTATTTGTGGTTGATGTGATGGATAGGCCTACTATTTAACATGCTGTGTGTAGACAGAGGCTTGCAGTAGTTGGAAAGTGTTTATGTAGTCATGACAATGTTTGCATTAGTCAAACTGAAACTTCTTAACGTGCCTTTCTTGGAAGATGAGCTATTTTAGAACTACGTGATGACTGAACGTAGCAAAAAAATCTTAGCAAAGTGTACATATGTTTGTAGAGTTCGACTGCAATTCATTGTCACACACATTAGACTTGCCATTATTGTTGTGGTCTGTCTTAAAGTGTCACACTCAACAGTGTCTTTTCAGCCAAGAGAGCTGAAGTGGTAAAAGCAACAATTTATCTGCCAACTATTTCAAAAGCCTCTGATCAAGCTGTGTGGAACACAAGCCGTGGTCATTTTTTTTACTTTCGAGTGTAATGTGACACGAGAGATGAGACGCCAAAGGCTTTCTTACCACTCCAGTAGGCGGTGTTCACTCTGAGTGAAGACACACAACTGAATCTCTTTTCACTATAGAGGCTCTGGAGTTAAAAAAGGGAACAGTTTAGTGCAACTCAAATCCACAAAGCTGTTGCTGTGTTCCTCAGTTGTATTTGTTGGAGCAAATCTGAAGGTATAACAGGAAACAAAAGTATAAGCAGTCAAGCCTTTTTTTTAGATGATTGTGTGTTAATTTATTTTAATACCATTGCAGGCTTCTCAGGAAGATAGGTTTACAAAGTGTAATAAAGCTTTTAAAGTTGAACATTGTTTCTTGTGTGTCATTTATACTTGGCGTACATTTTGTGTTTATTAAAACGCATGTATAGCTCAGATAAGTAGCTTTGCATTGGATTTCCTATATTTAATAACTTGTTACACCTCTTAGCATGAAATAAATCTCTAATACATGAAATCATAGCCTCAGACACCATTACACACACAGCATCAGTCACATAATCCACGAGCTGCATGTGTCCTGGCCTCAGAATATTCCATCAGGTCAACACACTTTTAAGTCCTGAAATGTAACCTTCACACTTCACTTTCAATTATTTGTTATAAAACATAGACTAGAACTGTATCTCCTCAGCAAACAAAGTATATGCTTTATTTGTAGTTTTTAAATGTTGCTGTTGGTCTGCATTTAGAACAAATCATGTGATTTCAAAGAAAGACATTACTGAGAGATCTACAAAAGAGTTATATTTAAGTATGTCCTCAATGCACCTTTCTGCTCTTGAGCTTCAGGGACAGCTGGAAATGTATGTGAAGCGGCAGAGGCTCCAGGACTCCCCAGGGTAGAGTTACCCCAACACTGCAGCACGAGCATTTTTACTGCCACAAACGTATCCCTCGCAGTAATGCTTATGTGTAGCGCATGGTAACATCTTCTAAGTTTGCATCAGAACAAGTATTACACAGTATTACAACCTGTTGCTACTTCCAACAGCCCTACCTGAGAATACGTGATTAAATATGCAATACTTCAGGCTACACACATTCAAACAAATAACAAATGTAAACACAGAATTCATACATATTTATTCAGCATTTAGAAATGTGTATTTACATGACATTTTAAAGTATAAAAAATAAATAATTATCTTCAACTGATTGAAACACTTTCAACATGTTGAAAAGTTAGAACTGCTCTCAATTCGAGTTTAGCTTTTCACAGTTCAAGAAAAAAATAAACAGGATAGCTATTTACAATCATACAAACTGTTAAAAGTACTTCGACCAAGGACTTTTTCTAGCTCGACTCTGTTCTGCTTCTGAATGACAACCATAACTCAGTCATGTGGGCTCCTGTATCTCTTACACCAAAACCTGACCAGTAACAGACAACCACAGTCAACGGGTTGTTGTGTTGACATCCACAGAGAGATTGCCAACAGCACTCTGTAAAGAACCCAAACATCTCTACCAATCTCTCTTTCAATGTAACAGAAAGTAATATTACGCAGGATTCTGTATGGCATACTGGTGGACAGTCCACCAGACAATACAAGTCATTTGCCACTATATTCATAGACAGGGTGCTACATCCATGATCCAGTTACACATGAATCCCTTTAAAACAGGATTGAAACTATTCAAGTGACATTTCAATATTCTGCCTTTGTCATTACTTAGTATTGGCTCCCTTGCATTGTAAGGTCTCTTTTGCAACACCGTGCTACAGCCATCACACCGTGTCTTTAAGACAAGACAGTTGAAGGGAATATCCGAGTAAGTGTTTCAGTTAAGGTCAAAAGACTGGAGTCAACTCTGATCTGATTGAATAGGTGGTCAATGTTGGGCCGTCAAGATTGTTAGTGAAGAAAGCTATTCTGTTTTTGCAATAAGCTCCACTGAAGGCCATACAAGCAGGCAAGCTAAAGGCATACTTTTAAACCAGTTTGGATTTAAATGGCATTTTTCAGGTCCATTTCACTTTTAACATCCTCCAACAATAAAGAAGGTACACAGTAACAGAGAGCTGGGTCCATCGCTATGCCAGGGCATAGCTGCCTGTAATTTAATGAGGTGGCATAAAGAAGACTAGAAAACAGCTTGTTTATGCAGAGTAGATGGTTTAGGGTGTGCACCCTAGCAGGTACTCTCCAACTCCGACAACGTACACAACCTGTGCAATTCCAAAGAGTGGGGCAATAACAAGGGCCCGGCAACTTGCCCCTTTCAGGAACGCTCCGGGACCCTCCTTTCTCAGGATCTTTCTGCAATGGGAGAGAGAGTGCAGGTTGAATAAAAATTCAACCTTTTCCGTTCATGTGAACCCTGGAGAAGGAAAGGCATTTACCTGATACAGTCCACCACGCCATTGTAGGTTTCCTCATTAGCTCCTTTCTTGAGTGACTGTAGCCTGGTCTTTACCACTGCACAAGTGAAAGAAAGCTTTTAAAATAAGTTAAACATTTATTTTAAAAAAAACATAAGAATTAAAAATAGCCTGGTAACCAGATATCTGCATAGACTGAGTCACTCACCGTCAAAAGGGCTGACAGTGACAGCAGCAATGCATCCAGCTAGGCATCCAGACATGAAGGACCAATAGAAGGGCACAGCAGGGTCTTCAGGGGAACGCCGGCCGAGATGGTGCAGATGTGCAAAAAGAGGGAAGTACACGACGGAGAATGGGATGTCCCTGAAAATGCAATAAAACATGCATGTTCACCACCTCAATATAAAAGCTGTCAAACCATGTAAAACCAGTTGAGCAAAATCAAGCACGAGATTCGTTCTCACCTCATCAATGTTGCTCCGAGTCCCCGGTACAGTCCTTTGACTCCTTTGGTCCTCAGCAGCTCTCTGGTGATCTGTGTGGCAGACACTCGCATGATTTGAGGTGCAGGGCTGGTGTTGTAGGAACGGCTAAGAACAGCACTGGTCCCACCGATTTTCAGAGCCGATACGCCACTAGGCACCCCCCTCTGCTGGGCCACTGGTAGGTACAGGAGAAATGAATATTATAATTGTTATTTTTAGAACATCACAAAAGCATTATTCGATCCTTTTTTCTGCTGATTTCCTTTAAAGTTACCTAGCCTTCCAGCATCCTGCAACTGGATCTTGAGCATCTCCATGGGTGTGGTGATAATGACCTGACACATTCCTGCACAGCATCCTGCCAACATCTCCTTGAACACTGTCAACTTGCTGATGAAAACATGAGACATACATGGATGTTGTTAAAACCAAGAATAAAATCGCAGTATAGAAATCAGCTTTATTTAGCGCTACTACTCACCCATCTTTGCTCAGCTGTTGGCGGAAGAAGTCATTAGCAGCTAGCTTGATGGCCTTCTCGGGGGTTACCAGGGTGAGATTTACTGCAGCACCTGCAACAAGAGAGGTCCACAAACGTAATTTAGATGAAACATTAGAATACAGAAAGATGTCTGTCAAATGAACTATTCCACATCACAGATATCAATAGGATAAAGTAGCAATGGTTTATTCAAGGCATAGGATCTGCTAATGTGGTCACTGCCTTACAAGATGAACCAGTAACCTATTGACAAGCAGTAACATGATGGGATGAAAAAGATTCAAGAAACTTGGCATAAGAAAAGCGTTCTTTTTTGGTAGACAGATTAGATTCCTGTTGAGGACACATTGCCAATTGAAATGTATCACAGAACCCCCCAAAAAGTTATGTGATATACTTGGTAATAATACAATTAAAGAGCCTACTCAGACATAGAGAACGTTCAGCATGTTATGAACAATGTGATTAGTCTTACCTCTGTACATGCCAAAGTAGCCTTCAGATTTAACTGTCTTTATAAGGCAATCCATCCTGAACAAAAAACAGGAATTGATAGTTATGCACATTGTATACAGGAAACACTTAATGTTTATGTATAACATAACAGAGTATAAAACAAAACAAACTGGTATTGGAAGTGAAAACTTGACATGAACATTGGCAAGGCAAAGGTTGTCAAATAATGTTGATTATAAATTGGTCACAAAAAGAAATGAATAAATACTGATAATCTAGACAGTTTAACTTGGGTCGACCAGCCTTTGCAGGGCTCAGTTTCTTAAAATTCATTCTCGGAAAACAATCTAATCAGAAAGACACATTATTGTAAATATACAACTGAAAGGTGACAAATATGACAAACCTGTATAAGTAAAGTGGCAGAAGTGCAGCATTTGCCCATTTAAGTAAGTTAATTCCAAATCTAGGAAAAAAGCAGGGGGGGGGGGGGGGCGTTTCTTACATATTTTTGTAGAGTTGTTGCCCGCTGCGCTGGTTCTGAAGGCGGGTCTTGGCCAGGTCAATTGGAAACACACAGGTGACTCCCACCATGCCTGCAATCCCTCCATTGATCAGTTTGGCTGGGAGGCTGTTTAAGTACAAGTCAAAACAGACATGTGCATTACAATCATTCCTTTTAGTCCTCAAAGTGGACTAAAAGGTGTGGCAATGTCAGAGAACAAAACCTACTGAAACTGAACTAAAGCAGTACAATTAGTGGTCTGATAAAGCACATACTTAGGGACTTTCTCTCCATTGGAAAATCATTTTTAACTTTAATCATTTTTAACTTTAAAGGGTGTCTGTATACTGTATGTGAGGCCTTAGCATTGCAACTGAACTGAGTATAATGTGACTGCCTCTGGGAATATGCGCTTCCAAAAATAACTTGACGACAGAGTAAATAAAACATACACATGTCCAGAGGCAGTCGAATCCTAAGGCTTCATTGATTTGCCACGTTAGCCTTGGAGAAACAGAAGGCTAACTATAACAATTTACAAGACTTTAACAGAGTTAAATAATCAGCAAGCTGTATTTCTATATTGCACTTTGAGCAGGCTACATATGTTGTCATGCTGGATTTGATGTATTGTCCCGATGGACAGAGCAGGTTCATACCTAATCTGCTGTTGCTGGGCCATGGTTCCTGGTTGTTGTGAGTGCAGAGGCTAGTCAGCACAAAGGAGGAGGCCGCAGAGGGAGAGCAGGCAGAGAGTCCCTGAGAGACACTGAGCAAGGCGGGAGTGTAAGGAAGCTCAGGGTTATATATATATATACACTCAGAGGAAGTCCAGCCCTGCAGATCCAGGGATAAATTCAACATTACTCTCCACCCACTGCACCGCCAGCCAAGAAATGGAGCCAAGGACAGTCATCACCCAAACAAAATCACACCACAAGCTCATTTTCTTCCACGGACACACCTGCCTAACATGTTTGGAAATTATTTCCAGTTGCCCAAAGTTCTTCGATCCAAACACACTGATTGGGTAATAGTAAAATGGACTAGTGTCAGACAACTATGACACAACAATGGTTGTGCAAAAAGTGTTGCCATACAAATCCTGATTGTTTTTAGTATACACATCTATGATTTCTAATCACAATTAATCAAAAACACCTCCAGACCAGAAAAATCATCTTTAAGAAGAAACTTGAGTGTTTTTCTTAAATAAGTGCCTACTTTGGTACCAGGCCTGGTTTCTGTGATTTTGTTGTATTGGGGTTAATAATGGTACACGTTTTTTTTACAAAAATACTAAAGGCTATGGTTTTACTGTATATTGAATGATACTACCTGTTACTGCAACCACGTTTGAATAGATTTATTGGATCTAATACAATAGTAGTTTTAAGCTAAAAGCTAGTAAAAACATTAGGCAAGTAGGCTACTCACAGAAGAAAGTTTGCTGCGTCTGCTCTGCACCGAACTAAAAGTTGGACATTTTGAAGTGCAGCCCTGCCCTGCTATGAGCTATCTCTGGACTACAGTTTATTGACAATGATGACTGGCTAGTTAAAAGATGTAAACGTATATTTCGAAAGAAACATTATGTCTCGTTAAAAGCATGCTCGACCCACCTTAGATGAAAGCTAATGTCCTGCTTTGGCGAAGTTTAAGTGGCCTCTCACTCCAGCAGGCTTCAGGTCTGTATGAATGAATATCGAATTGAGGAAGCGCGTTAACCTTCCAGGGGCGTCACAGACCTGAGTTATCCAGTGAAAAGAGGGGATTTGCAAAGAAGGATGGGCCAACTTGCCTCAGAATTTGCACAGGTGAGCATGATGCAACTTTTCCCAAATATTTCTCACAGGTCGCTCAGAAACATGTAACTAATTCTGCATGGGCTCTCAAACCTCAGAATCACAAACTAACCAAATCATTCTCCTCCTAAGCTTTACAGATGACACTTTACATGTAAATATAATTATAATCGAGTAGTTTTTTGCATATATTATTTGTAATCTTTATTAATTTACACACTTTTCACAGTTAAATTAGATGCATTTTAAACAGTACATTTTGCTACATATTGCCGAAACCATAAACAGCTGAAGAGCAAATAAACACTCGTCCATCGGCGTCCATTTAGCATGCATGTGCACTGCATGTTTAGGCATATTGTCAGTTTTTCACAGCGGGCTGGGTTTGGTTCTTCACACCGCCCAGGGTCACGGTGCATCGGTCTTTAGAGACCCGGCTGGTGCGGACACAGTGGTGCGAGCGCGTGTTGCAGCGCCTGCAGCTGCAGCGCTGCGCCGCAGGATAATACAGCTGTGAGTTTACATCCTGAGGGCAGCCCGGAACATGGACGGCTCGGTACACCAGAGAGAGAGGCACACAGCTGCGCTGGATCAGGAAAATCCTTCCGAACCTTCCTTTCAAATTGGTGTCCTGACAAAGAGGAAACAGCATTGTTAACATGAGATTGGGGCGTGTGAATTGTGTTACAGCACTTCTACCCATAATCAGTTTCACAAAGTATATGTAAAACAAACCAAGATTTTAATTTGGATCCACATGTTGCACTTAGATTAGAATGAAACTAAGTAGGCTATTTTACGCAAGTATAATGTAATTAAAGTAACCTACAATTAAATGTTATGTCAAGGTACTCTTTGCTACACTAGCCATACACTATATTTGACACTTCAATATTGTACTTATTACTCCTCTATTTTCGCACTTAGTTACTTTCCCAATTTTCTTTATTCGGAAATTGGCCATTGTAGCTACTTAATATGTGTTTTACTTTGGGTGGTTTAAAGGTGCTAAATTCCTAATTCAGAGCATTAAAAGCAGAAAACAATTTTCTCTATATAAAACATAGTGGTGTAATGTTGTCCTGAGTAGATGATAAAGTCACACTGTTCAGGACAACATTATACCATATTTTGCTGTGTTTGTTGAAATATAAGCTTCTCTGTGCTTTTTTATCCAGCCGGTAGCCTACTGCCGCGTTTGAATTTGAATCTCTGTGTGCGTATGTCCAACTGACTAGCTAATGGACTATGCTCTGTTTTCTTACAGTAATTGTTCCTGAAACAAATAAAACCCCTCAGTTTAAAACTCTTAACTCTTTAAACACTGTTGCTGTTGATTGCACTGTTAGCTTTTAGCCGCCCCTTTAGCCTCCTCCATGTTAGCCGTGTGGAGACAATCACTTAATCACAGATGTGATCTTTGCTAGGAGTTTACTTCAGCCACCATGTGGACTTCCAACTTCCTTTGTTTGGACAATTTAAGATGACGAATCAAGGTATAGCATTGCAGTATGTTGCATCAAGTATTCTTTTCATGGGCATAACCACGCCAACAGCATGCTTCCTTGTTTGGATTCATGCATCAAAATGTTCAGCTAAAGACTGGACAGTGGAGAGTGTATAGTCACCTGTGTGTGACAGTAGCCACTGCATATGGTTGTGTTGATTGCCACACACTGGCCGCAGTCTTGCCTCTCAATCCATATGGTGTGATTCTTCAGCATACAGGAAAACACTGTTCCATGCATTAACGCACACAGCAGCATGCATTTCAACAATAACGACGGCATTCTGAAAATGAGACATTTTGAAAATCATTATTACAAAAACAATATATACACTCAGGAGAATTTCATTGCAACAATATCAACATGTTAGGTTCATGCAAACTTAGATCGAAGAGAAAAAACACACCTTGACATCTGACCTTTCGGAATTAAGAGATATCCAATGAAAACAATATGAATTTAAGCCTGAAGGATTTGACTTCAGAGGAAATGGTTTTAGATATCCAATAAATCTGTGTTGTCTTAATCAAATAAGTGGATGATAGTTCTGGATTCTTCCTCTTGTTCTGTCCACTCAGTTCCCCAACTCCACCATGTTCCTCTCCTTTATGAAATTCTGAAAAGATGATTGTTGTCTATCCTCTTTTATGGACGCCTTAATCCACCTCGACTGCCCCAGTACACTAGAAGTCTAAAACATCATTCCAGAAATCACATGAATGTGGGTGTGTTTAGTGTGTGTGTTTTTGTGTGTGTGTACAGTGTTCCTTTTCATAGGTGATATTGAAGAATATGTGCTCAACCATTGGGTAGGGGGCTGGTCAAACCCGATTCACGTGGTTGATTCCTCACGTTTTAGACCATGTGAAGTCCACCTTCTTTCCCTGTGTTTTGATTTGATTTGCAAGATCCACCCACCAAAATTCCTGAAAGTAAGTCCCTTTTCGAAAGTGAAACCCTGAAGATAAACTAGTGTTTGCAAATTTGTAAATGTAGGCTATAAAACCACATTTAACCTATTTATAGCATCAATGGCTATTTGTGCACTTTAATCATGAGTTTATATTAAGGGCATTAATCAGCTATTAAATGTGAAAGAAATAAAGTTAAATATTTCTTAATTTCTAACTATATTTAAAAACATTTTTTAAGTGATCTCATTTGGCTGATGCTGGGTCAAATCTCTCATGTTTCTGTCTCTAACTGAGTGAAAAGGTTATGCCCTCCTTTTCTAAGCCATTAATGCTTCCATTATTCCCATCTGTTACTAATGTGAGTGGCCATGTGCCATCATATTTTCCCCGCACAAAGTAGTCAATAAACATGTTTACCAAACACAATTGATCCTAATCATGCCATCATCATGTCCAAAGCACACTTCATGATCCTCAATGCAAACACAGGCTTACTTCCACTATTCAATTAAAAACACAGGTCTTGATCCTGTTCTCTTCAACCATCTATATATCTAAAGTTAACAATCATGGTAAACAAAAATAATCAGAATTATTCCAGAAAAATTGATGTAAATCTACACTGAAATACGGACAAATGCAGGGACAGTTCAATTAATTAAAATATACAATATTACCGTATTATGGTTTTCCCACTATGCTGCTGGCCTGGCACTGTTTCTGCCATTCTGCTTAATGATAATCATGTTGGATCACATGTCAAAACTCCATCAGATAATTGCAACAAAGTGGGTTGTTGACAGTTCAGCAACTATCTGCCCTGACACAGATCCAGCTTTATACAGATGGTCGGATTATATTTTGTGCATGGTCTCGAAACAAAAAAACTTTGATAGCTCAAAAAAGTAGTGGTGTGCTTAAAACCACTGTGCACTGTGTTAGTACACAGTGCACAGTGGTTTTAAGCATGCCACTAGGGTCATGATTGGGTCAAAAGCAGGTATTGTTTTAGATTACAAGATGGTAACTGTGCCTTGAAACAATGAACAATTGCTTTATTTGTTTTGCAGGAGGAAAGCGGAGATACAGGACTTAACACAATGACACGTCATATAAATTCATAGTAAAAGACACATGTTGAAACTATTTGTACCTTTTAAGATGAAGTAGAGATCATTTTGCGAATGTATCACCCTACTTCAGGAGACCTGGCTTGGACCACGTACATTAATTATGGGACTTTATCTTGAATCTTGAATCGTTCTTGTGCTAAAGCTGCGCAAAATGTGTTCACACAGGCAGACAGATATACACACACCTGGCAAAGTACTCAAAAATGCCTTCTGTGGTAGTTTGTGTAATAGTATTAGTAAGTGTTTCAAGGAACATACTTTAATGACACACAAACAGACTCACAGGGGGGAAATAACGTTTTTTCTGGTAACTATGTTTAAAACTTTAAAATCACAATCAGCAAGGGCACTGGGTGTAGGTGGGAAGAAGTGTTGAAGAGACCCTTTCCGGATTTGGAGTTGAGGCTATTGGGATCACATTGCAAGATATATTTATTTTTTGCACCCGTTTCTTTGAAAAATAAAGGTCTAAAACTTTGCATGCAAGAATAAATGTTCTCAGGCAGGTTTGTTGTCAAATTTCCAAAAAAATATGTGGAAAGGTTTATTATAAACGTAGGAATTGGCATTCTAACAGGACAGGCCATTTAGTTGCCCTTCTGCTCAACCCTTCCCTTGTCGCCCTTATCATCACGATGTCTGCAGATGCTGTTTGAGGTTTACGATCTGAGTCTCTCTGTTTCTGATCATACTGTCCGGGTAACTCTACACGCTCCGATAAGACCCTTGAGCTGGGTCAGACAGAAACATGAAACCTTTTTGTTTGATATTAGCCATGCCCTGGCCATGCCCCCAGGTCAAGAGGTCACAGACTAACACAAAGTAAAGCCATTACATTTACCTGAATTACCTGGTCCAGCAAAAACAGTAATCGTGCATTATTATTATTTGATAAGCTATACATATTAAAGTGCAGATATTTTTTCTCTTAACATAGAGATTTGCCTTATTTTCTTTTGTTGATGATTTTTATTTGTTTGGTTGTATGTAATTATAATGGGATCATATTAAAAAGATTGTTAAAAAAAAATTACATAGCTTTAACATAAATGTAATACATTTATCCATCTATGTAATTAAAAAAGAAAATCTTGTGATCTTGTTAATGAAAAAGTGGGAGGAGAGTAGTCTGAATTGGGTTCTGGAGCTGTGCTCCACCTCATACATCGCACTCATTTGCTAGCCACGAGCGATTCCAAGTCAGTGAGCGTCACATCCACCGTGAGGCGCTGAAACTGCGCCACACGGTTTCTCCTGCTACAACTGCTCACGTTGACCCATATTTTCTGTTCGCTCGCTCACCCGAATCAGGTGATACCCTGCTAGGGTAACTATTGGCTCTTGTCTCAGACCTTCCCCGAGGTGATTGGTGGAGTGACGAGCACTCAGCATGTGACCTCTACAATGAGCTTCCGCCCACGGAAGTAACATGGTGGACACGTTGTTTTAATACTGTGTTAAATTTGAGTACAAAGTTCGTTGTGGTGCAAATTATACTGAATCAACTTGGCGTATTTTTTTATACCAGCGAGGCCGTCCGCAACATAAAAACCAAACTTAAATGTTGTAAATGCTTTCGTTTCAAGCTGTTTGTAGTTTAAGTTTCGCTGTTGAAGAGTAGAATGAACCCGAGTGGCATGCTGGGAAACAGAGCCGTTTTCCCTCATTAACTGGGAGCATTTATGTCTGTAATCTACCTTCTTATAAAATTAATAATACGCTTTATGCGCCATGGACTAAAGAAGATGCTTAACAATTCAATTAAATACAAAGTCATTTTTGGACCAGAAATCTTCCATTGAGATATAATGAGAGTACCTTGTGTCTTAAATAAAAGTAAATGAACATATTACATTAATAGTAACATAAAATTTAAATGAAAAATGTAATGCAACATAAATCAAAACATGAAAACAGTCACAATGCAAAGACAAGACTTTTTCCCAGAATCACAGAATTCTGAAATATTTATTTTTAACATACTCTGAATTTGCCCAAAAGCAGCCATCAACAAAAGTAGGATGTAGAGATAACAGTCAGTTGTTCCCCAATGTTCTCTGCAGTGAATTCAAGTTACCACTAGATGGCAGTCAAACACAGTCCCACATTAAGTCCGATCATAATTGTGAAACTGCGGACAGATATTTTGCTTACACACGCAAATTGAGACTCAGCACCAAAGTGTATGCCAGTCTAAACTTTGACCTTCTTCCAATTCCTTTATCACACTTAGGGCTTACACATTTTAAATACAAAAATGAATGGAAGTTATATGCACTCATTATGCATATAATTATGTTAGCATTCTAAACACATACAGTAGCAATAACACACTCAATAACTCAGTAACTTATCCCTAATGGGCCCTGCACTTGTTTATTTCATTTACACAATATCACAATAACATTAAAGTGCTGATCAACAGTGTTTAGTTCCAATTCATTCTCTAATAGAGAAAACAATGAGCAGCTGAACAGCTGATTTGCAAACCACAGCAACAACAGGGAAGCTGTTTAATTTTCCCTGCATGTGCATTGCTTTGGTAAGTATATTGTCAGGGTCCCACAGCGGACTGGGTCTGGCTCTTCACACAGGGTCACTGTGCATGAGTCATTAGAAATCTGGTGTTGACACAGTGGGGTGTGTGTTGTAGCCTGCAGCTGCAATAGTTGGCTGGTTGATAATGCAGCTGGGAGTTTACATCCTGAGGGCAGCCTGGCACATGGGCGGTTCGGTACCCCAGAGAGAGAGGCACACAGCTGGGCTGGATCAGGAAACACATCTCAAACAGTCCCCTCACATTGGTATCCGGAAAAAGGGCAAACATGACTGTTAACATGACTTGGGGAGTGTGACAATAATTGCGATACAATTTAGTAAGCAATTTTACACTTCTGCCCCTATCACTTTCAAAATGACCAGTTCCTTGTCACAGTCTAGATAGAATATGGGCCCAACCATAAGGTTTGATGCTGGACAAACCTGATCCTCATGTTCATTCCTCACGTTTTAGGTCATATGAAGTCTGCTGTCCTGTGTTTAGATGTCATGCACAGGATGCCCCAGAATTCCTGAAAGTGAGTTCCTTTTTAAAATACACACATTTAAACAAATTTGACACATTTTAATTCATTAATATTTTCCATGTATTGTTACCTTTTAAGACAGGGGAGTGGACCTGAACTATTGAAGAAGCAATTTATTAAAGTACCCAAAATAAAAATGAAATTAAGTTCATAATTATTTGTTATTATTTGAAGTGATCTCATTTGGCTAATGCTGGGTCAGCACGCTCATGTTTCTGTCTCTGAGTGAAAAGGTACCCTCCTTTTCTAAGCCATTAATGCTCACATTATTCCCATCTGTTATTCATGTGAGTGGCCATGTGCCCTTTTTTTCACAAAGTAGTCATTTTTGAAGAGCTATTGGTTGCTGAAGACATTGGATCCGTGAGTTCATATACAGAAATTATTAATATATGGCCCGAAAAATCTTAGTGTAGCTCTTTAAACGTATGAGTTGTTAGTTTTAATGTTTCATTAATAGTAGAGCTTGTTCTATGATTGTTTCTCCTGTTACAGCTTTCTCTTGTGTTGAGTCCTTATTATCATTTGATG